GGGGGGGTCCTCACGGCTGCTCAGCACTTCGTAAGCATCACAAAGTTTCGTGGCCTTAAAATACACCTCTCGTTCTGGCTAAGCCCCTGGCCCTGCAGACCTTGGCTGAAAGCAATAACTTCTCTGACTAATTTTTAACTCGAGCAATAAAGTTATATAGAAGGAGGACATAGTTTAGCAAGAGCGCAGAGCTCTCTTGCCACGTCCTCTATCCTCCCGGCTTGGTAATTGCAGCCGAAACAAGCTCTGAGCTTCTCTTGCCCCAGTTTTCAAATAGCGGTAATGCTGTTGACCCACCTCTGTAAAACACTCAAGATCTACTCAAAGGCCACTTGACAAATTAAAAAGTCAAGCTGAGAGCTGGATTCCCACTGGCAACAGTCAATCACTGCTTCTCTCTTCATCCCCAAAACACTTGGCTTTAAGAAAAGGAGGACAGCGAAAGGAGGAGCCACTGAGAACGACAAAGCAAGGCCGGGTGTGTGCACATGCTGGGCTTCATTCTGCCCTTGTTTAGAGGACCGCAAACCAGGAGAAGGAATTCATTGCAATGAAGGAAGCTGGAATGAAAGAAGAACCTGAGCAGTGCCTTGCAGGCCAAGCTGAGCTATCGCTGTGGAATTACACAGCGCTTTAAAGTCTCTGTTGGATGGTCTAGAGAGGGGCAATAGAAATGAGACCACGGCTGAGACCCTAATATACTTGCACCTCCTTGCAAAGACACACCAGTGTCTGCAGCAGCCAGTTGTAAAGATGACCTCAGCTCCTGAGCCCTGTGCCTGTCCAATGTGTGCACGGAGGGACTGTAAGCCCTGCCACCGCGGAGCGAAGCAGACGGTGCCCGGGAGAGTTGGTGGCTGCTGGCTGGGCATGGCTCTGCAGATGCAGGCTGTGCTTTGTTGCAAGTGGTGCAGCAATTTTGGCCCCATTGGCGAGTGTGCAAAGAGCTGGGATCTGCCTTACGTGCCAAGAGGGGCTGAGAGACCCCAGGGACAAAGGGACCAGCAGAGTCCAGGTGGGGAGGAGGGCCTGGTGCATGTGAGTACATTTTGATACCTGCTGACAGGCATTGCCCTTGTAATGGACATGCACAAGGTGAGACCTCCCTTTATTTTTATTTGTGAAGAGGTTTCCAACAACAGCAGGGGGAAGTAAAGACATAGGGGGTTTGTCAGCATTAGAGGAGACCAGAGTGGTTCTCTGGGTGTCCACCACAGCAAAAGTGACATCTGGCACTGCAGTCCTTGAACCTCTCAAGGGAAAAGGGTGAGGTTCAGAGACTGAAGGCATATCCAGCCTGTGTAGTGGGAGCCCCATCCCAGCAGCTTTTCAGGAGCTGGAAGGTGCACTCAGACAGTAGGTGAGCTTTTCACTATTTGCATCGCCCGGTACTGAAACACCAGAAAATCTGGACCAAGGGTCTCAGAAGCGCTAAGGAAAATAATCGCCCCTTTAGTCCAACTTCCCTGAGTTCAGCAGAAGAAATAAAAACAGTGCCAAGTGACCAAACTTCATCCATAGTTGGGCATTCCTTTACAAGAAAATACAGTAAAACATCCTGGTTGAAACTCAGACACTGACCTGTTGAGTCCTGCTGACTGCTGTCTGTATTTCATACCCGGAGGGCAGGGGCAGGGCCATCTCTGATCACATCAGATATGCAAGGCTGGTCTTCTGACAATCTGAGGCAATTGTGCTGTTCAGATCTGCAGGGCTAGACGAGGTAAGGGGAAGCATGCCATGAAGGTTTTGTAGGAATCCTACTTGGACTCAGCTGCAAATGTGATTGGTTCCAATGCTAAAACACCCTTTTTAGAAGGACAAACACATTTTCAAGGGGGAAGAGGCACATAATGGCAAGAGCTGTTGAGTGGCAATGACACCAGCTGCTGGAATGTCAGGGCTTTGCTTTTGCCTGTTGCTGCATGTCTGAGAAACCTCCTCGGTCCCACATGCTGATGTCTCACACTACCCCCCTTCCCCTGCACCCCCACCATACAGAACAGAAAGAACAACCCCAGCCCTTAAGGCAGACAGCAGTGATGGGTGCTTACCTGAGAGGAGAGGTCACCCCAGAAGCACTGAATGGCAGAGGATTAAGCCCAAGCTCTCAGGCTCCCAAATTATTATCCCAAGCTTATTTCTAAGGGAATTATCAGATTCAGTCTGCATTGGAGAAGCCTCCTCTCCCCCTCCCCAGGCCCCACTG